TCATCATAGTTACGTGAGTATATATACATCAGAAACGAAGTAATGAAATAGTTTCAGACGATAAGAGAGTTTTCCTGGATAGAATTAGGATTTCCGAAGCAGGATTAAGTAGAGAAAAAATAATGAGGTAGAGCACGTTCAGGTAAAAGCTTCAACTGCTTGGTAGGCCTGGGCAAGCGACAATATGTGTACTGGAAGACAGGTACGCCTATCATTAGTAACTGGATCGATTGTAAGCCATGAAAGTGCATTGTAGGCTTCCAATACGAATCGGAGCACGTCACAAGTAGAGCTGGAGTCAAGAAGATGTCGACGAAGTAGTAGACTTCGAGTACAGGGTCCGCCGCGCGTCCCGTTGCTTGCGACGCCGACAGCAGCTGCGGTAGCCTCATCACCAGCAAATAAACTCGCTTGTAGATGGAGAGCTGATTTAAGGCATACAGGTGTCTGCAGGCCTGCCTCTGGACAAGCAACCCAAAACCAGTTTGGTAAGGGGCCGGCAGGAGCAGTGGAGACATAGTAACCCATAGCCAATGGCTGTTGCATAAGTCCAGCTTCGTCCTCTTGTGGATCAGGCAAGCCATAGGGAAGAAGATTTGAAAAGGCTTCAGGATGCGCAGGATATCGCCCGGCAACGAGAAAGGCGTCGCTGCCGCCACCCCCACTGATGTTTCCGCCACCTGAGCTACGTCTCCTAGCCCTACTATAAGTAGCCGAAGATACAGCGCCAGTACCACTCATACCATAATCTCCATCAGTATCCGATCCATGAAGAGAGAAGCCACGTCCACGCATATCGCCAGATAAACTCAAGCCAATTTCATCGATGCTGCAACGTGACCGAACAGAAAGTAGATCGTTAGGGTCCAGGCCAACATCGTGGTTTCCAGGATGGTGGCCACCATGGAAGTCGTCTGAATGGCGTCGTCCAGGGTCTTGAGAAAAGTAAATAATTACAAAAATGTGAAAACGAAGTGCATATCAAGGCCGAGCAAAGGAACAAATAAAAAATCTCAAAGATAACACTTGAAGATTGGCTTAATAAATACAATTATATTGTTATTTTATGATTATGAGAGTCATAGCCTTCTTAAAAATATCACAAAATTACTGCTAAGAAGAATCAGCGATGAAGAGATTTTATAAGCAAGTCAGCAATAATATATAAAAAATATATTGAAAAACAGAGGAAGCATTAAATCAGATTACCAATCGTGATCAGTGATTTCAAAAGATGATTAATTTCAAGCTTATATAAGAATTGACAAATAATAAAAATCTCGAGACACCCTAGGCCAGTACAAGTGATGTGGAGAATAACTGATGTAAGGATTTTTGCGAATAAAATAAGTATGAGTTGGTGATGCCCTTGAATTTCTCTTAGCCTTGCCTACCGGAAAGCTTCCTCTTCCTCC